TTTTATTGACATGTAAATTGCAGCATGAAACTGGTCATTTAGATCAATAAAAATGAATATACCATAACAGTTCTTTGGTACCACTATAATTTAGTGCAAGAATACAATATATTCTTATACGAGTTACATTTTTGGAATTAGTTATGAAAGTAGCATATCTTTTATGCACATCTGAATTTGTGAAGAAACTGCTTCCAGTTTCCATGTTTACATCCTCTATATTGAATCACATTTTTAAAACATTTTAATGCTTAAATGTGAATTTAAAGTTGGAATTGTAAAGGCTTTATTTAATTAAAGTTAAATAAAACATTTCTTATTGACAGCTACATCTCTTCTCTTTTTGTTTATTTTACTCTATTGCACTGAAAGTATACCATCCAGGATGCTGAATGGACTTTCAATTTCATTCTTTTGTTTTCCTTAATTACGCAGCTATCCAAAAGAGCACAAGTCACTATAAAGATAAAGGTTTAAGAACCCACTCACATCCACTACTTACATAAACCATTACAGTCAAAAGTAAATGCAAGGCAAAACTCATTTATGAGTGGTTCAAAGTCTTATACAGCCTTTTAAAAATGTTGTAAGCATTCATGTCCATTGGGAAAGAGAGGTTCAGGAAATATCTAGTTCAGGGATTATAATCATACTGTATGATACAAAATTACAATTAAATTCCAGAAATACAGTCTGAGGTTCCATCATTAAAATCAGAGAAATAACATGGAACAGAATGTTTCTATCACCATTGAATGGAAAAATGTCTACAGACCCCCCAAAAGGGTGAATGGGAAACATAGTGCTGATGCAAAACTTTTAAATTAGGGAGTTTGAAATAGGAATGAGATCAGATACGAGATCAAATGAAGAAAAGGGAATTTTAAATATCTGGTGGAAAACATTTCAGTTTTAAGGTGTGAGGCCTTACAGAATTTTGTTCTGAGCAAACTGATATTGGAATATAGTTTCAGATTGAGGAGAACTGCATAGTTTCTGGAACTTGGCCCATTGTAGAGCCCACCAAAAATACAGATCACCAAATGCTGACAAGCGATCCAAAAGAGGAATTTAACAAATCCAAGGAACTGTAAAACACGTCTTTTCTAGGCCCATATCTAAGGTTGGGGCCCTGGATGGGAAAGGCTGGGGGAAATAATCAAGGTCCCACATCAAATAGGATTCCAGCAGGGAAGAAGGGGAAGAGACCAGTGACTGGTGCTACAGTACCTGGGTGTTTACTTGTACACCCAAAAGACAGGGAACTGCAATGTAAGATCTGAAAGAAGTAACAAATGTGAACAAGGAGCCTAGACTGTGGAACGAGTTGGAGAGCACGTGAAAGAGATGCTAACACAGATGACATTTCTGGAGCCAAGGGCAAGGTGGGTAGGATGTGTGATGATGATGAAAAAGGGGAAGGAAAGTGAAGACAGGGGAATGGAAAGACTGTGCCAAGTAGAAGAGGCAAGAGAGCTTGAAGGAGAGAATGAAAGTATAAAATAAAGGACGGGATGGGAGATGGCCCCAGGTTGTGCTGGAGTTCTGTGGAGGCGCAACATCTTCAGTGAGTGCAATAGAGAAAGGATGGCCAGGAGACTTTAGTCAGTGGGTTGTTTTCCCGCATCCAGAAAGGCAAAAGGTTTTGACGGGTTATAAGAAGAGGTGTAGGTCCAAAGGAGATTTGTATTCTGCAAGAATTGCAATTAGATGGGTGCCGCCGAGACAGGAATGGAGGGGAGAACTCGTGAGAAGGCCAGTGGACTTGGGGAGACAAATGGCAGGATACTGAGCAATAATGCCAGCCGCTGTGGAAACCGGAAGAAGGGTGCAGGTTTTGTCCATTGCTTCAATAGACAGCTGGAGTACTGTGGATTGGTTTCCTATGAGAATTCCTGAGTGAAGGAAGACTGGAGAGTTGCACAAAAAGGTTGGTCTCTTGCAAGACCTTGTGTTGATAAGTATAATGTGAAATACTGTAAGAAGCTCAAGTGGGTAAGTTAGAATTATATTTTTCCTGTTACAAACTAGAAGTGAAATATGTATGTAACAAGGAGGAAAACATGAAAAGGACAAATATGTCTTAACAATAAATTACACACAACATATTCACTATTATTATTTACAGATATTTACAGATGTATGAATTCCAGAGTGTTGCCTTATGTAGGAACAGAAAACACAAAACTCAGCAAATGACACCAATACAGCAAAAGGGAAAAGATGGAACCTGTCTTAAGAAAAAGGGATCATATTCAGTACTTAATCATTCTCTTAAACTCTTGTAGAATGATTACTCCTTCCACAAAACATTCTGACTGCTATCCAAGTGAACATGGGGAGAACATGCAAACTCCACACAGACAGCACCCCAGGTCTGGAAGTGAACCTAGGCCCCCAGTACTGTAACATAGCAATGCTAACCACTGCACCACCATGCCACCTTTGCTGAAAAGATAAAGTTACAAGTACTTTAGGAACAGACTATTCTACAATTTATATTGTGGTTGGTTAGATTTATCCCTAAATTACATCTTAAGGAACATGTGTATTCATTTATGGACTAAACATAGAAACAGTTTCAGTGATTCCTGTTTTATTACTCACTGGTAGTTTCTGACTTTGACTGAGTTTCTGTCAGTTTGATTGCCCTATTCAGATGCCCAAGAAAATTAACTGCTGAACATTTACTCTGTTAAAGGATCAAATATGTACTGTATCTGTCTTATAAGCATGGTTAGGGAGTGTTGACAGCTTAATGCACCTGCCACAACATTGTTCTGTTGAATATTTTACTTTGTCATTTTACTTAGTCATAAAAAGAATTTTACAGATTGTAACATACTACAATGTTCATGTTTTGTTGTATTTGTATTTGTTGTTTGTAGTCGTATGTTTAGCTGATTTTAATTTAATTTGGATATGTATAGCTATACATTCCTATAATCCTTATTTTTTTCTATTTCAACTTTCCTTGGCAAATGTTCTAGCCTTGAAACAACTTTTCTGTCATAAGTGTTTTTAAGAGTGGCAGCACAATGGTTACTATGGTGACCAATGCCTCACAAATTTGGGGTCCTGGATCTGGTTTTCTTGCACTTTCCAAAGCAAACTGATGTCACTAAATTATCCCTGGTTGTGTGTGCCTTGCAATAGATTGGTCATCTCATCCAGCAATTATCCTATGCTTCTTGGACAGGTTGCTGTGAATCTTACGGGAATAAGATGCTTTTTGATAATGGGTTATGGATAATTAAATAAATTGCTTTATCCTAACATTTGATCTGAGTGGATTTTTTGTGTCAAAAGATACTCCTTTACATCAGTCATACCATAACCCAGAACTACAGTAAATGTTATTTTTTCATATTGAACATGTAGGATGCTGATATTTTTATATTTAATTAATTTTCTAAAGAAATTGAATCCATAAAATAACAGATTATAAAAAAGCCAATACTTCATGATTTATTATATTGTAATATGGTATTTTACAGACACAAAGCAAATTGTCACCCATTATTATTAATGGTTGATAAATGCTTTATTTGAATGTGGACTTACAAAGCCAACATAACACTTTCATATTAACTGCTGTACATATGACACTATAGTAACTTTTATAATAGTTGGTGACTGTTGCTGCAAATGTTTTAACAAGTATATGTTTACACTAATAATATTTGCCACAGCAGAGGCTATAGCATGTGTTGCAATAAGCATTATGGTTAGAGTTAAAACTAGAGTTATGGATATGTTAAGGGTCTATATGTTGTACCTGTTATGTCAAAATTGGTTATTAAAAAAAACTGTTCTAACTTTAATAACAAAAGAGTGGTATAGCATGGTTAAGGTTACCTAAAGGTTTATAGGTTGCCTATAAAGGTGCCATGTTGGCTACACAAGATTGTATTTAAATAAAGTGTCACCCTATTAATTATCCAGTACTGACAAATTACTTTGTTTCAGTGCAGTATTAAAAAATGCTGTGATAGGTACAAATATTTGAGCTCATGTCTCCTATCTCCCAATCGAAATATGCTATGAATAGTAAAATAATAACCAGTAATGTTCAGCCATATTGTTTTTTTGTCATCTTTTGTGTGAATGTGCTCTATTAACACTGTCAGGAACAATTGTTACAAAGAGTTGTTTCAATTATTTAAGAAAAACATCTTATTTCCTTAAGCATAATTGGTAGGATACCATTGGTCCTTGGAGATTTACTTATCATAAGTGCTTTCTAATACTATATACACTTCTGCCTATGCTATGTTAATACTGTTTAATAAAGAACTTTGTCATTTTGCTGCCTGAGGCAAGAGTTAAATACTCTTTAAGTCCATCCACCATTTGTATTTAATTGTTTAGAAGTTACCTGTTATTGTTATTTTACCTCATCCTTTATAGGTCTTTAGCTGTTGTAGTAGAGAAATAACCTTTTATTATTTATTTTAGCCCTCACAGAATTTCTTTCCATCTCTCACCTAGCTTATAAAGTGCATTTTGTAGTCAGACATATACTCCTAAAATTATACCTTTCGAATGTTTTTTATGAGTCTGAACCATATGGATTCTGGGACCTCTAGATGTTCTTCCTGATCCCAAATACTGTTTATTAGTTGTATGGTCAAATTCCAATGATGACTAAAAGAGCTGACAAATATGAAGAGATAGCATGCTTTAACTTGCCTGACAGTGCTGGTCGAAGATCAGGGCTGTTACATCGCCCCAAAAGAAAAACCCAAAACACCAACACAGATTTTGAATGCTAAGCTAATTATAATTCAGTTGGGATGTGGTTTCACCAGACCCTAGCAGAATGTGCATGTAATGACTGAAAAGCATGTATGATGCAGGCTTGCATATATTTGAATTAGTGGATTTGGATATACAGTGCATGACAAGCATGTATGCTGCACTTGACTAATAACAGGCTAGCATGAACTGGAACTCTGTAGTGGGCAGCAGCAGACACTGCAGTTCTCCGGACGCTTAGCCTGACAATGGAACAGAATTGCTGCTTGCTCAATTAGTTAGACTATAGAACATATTTCAATCTGACTCCCAAAATGTGAAGGAATATCTGTCACATATGTTGCTAGAGGCTTTAGGAAGGGGAAGAGTCCAAGCCGACACTGATCAGTTGGATGCCAACTGAAAAACGGAGGAGACATGGGAGGGGAAACCCATTGCTGTAACTGCCTAGTCCTGCTGTAGGGGCAGTTTGGGAGTGAACGAGGAAGCCCGGATCTGGTGCAGAATGATGCTGTCTGTTGACACCTATGGGGCAAAATGGGAGTCAATGACCAGGGGATCCTATTGTGGACAACAACAAGAAGAATGGGAGAGAGGAGAAGAGATGAAAAAACAGATGTAGGCTGGGTCCTGAGGTGAGCAAGGCTGGAAATTCGCCCAGAGATGAAAGAGAAAGGGAAAAGGAAAATGAACAGAGTGGTTGAGATTAGGAAGAAAGAGAGAGCAATGGAAGGGAGAAAAAACTGCCACATTTGAATATATTTTCAATACTGCCATTTTTGAACATATGACTCTCTAGCCAGGAGTTCAAAGCCCTGACTGCTGCTTTGCACTGATATTATATGTGAGGGCATGACATATCATATACTATATAAATCATTCAAACTCTCTTTACATTTAAGAGAGTTTAAAAATTTAAGGTTTAAAAATTGTGAAATTATTTTAAATTCAAAATTTTTAAATAAAAGCTATCTCTTTCCTGTATAATGAATCTGCATTAACATTTTTTAAGTGTTTCATTGCATGGTGGGTGAAGACTAATTGTGACACAAAACAGTAAATTCACTACAAAATGTTACAATTGCTTTTTAAAAATATCACTACAGCTGGAAAACACTATAGTTGGAAAATCACTGCATTAACTTTCTTTAAAATTAATATCTGATTTGTTTTGTCCTTGGGTGCCTCTTAAAGACCAGATCATTTGAGATATCTCCTATTAGTCTTTAAAATCAAATCGGAAAAAGTATGGTAATTGGTATGCTTCCTGTCTTTGAAACACTGTTCCAAAATTATATCAGGAATGTTGGCATTATTGAATTTTAAGATCAATAGCAGATGTACCCTCCATTGAAGTGAGGTCTAAACCTTTTAGGATAGAAGTCACATGCTTAAAGGCAGTATGAAGATTTAAAGCTTAAATAAGTTATGCTTCTTAATTTTATTGATTGTTATAAGTTGTAAATTGATACCTCTGTAGGTATATTTTGTTGTAAACATATTAAACAGCATTAAAGTTGTCTCATTTAATTGTATTAAGGTGTTATTTTTAGATGATTGATTTGTTTTTCTAAATTCGATCTATTTCTTCTTCCTTGTTAATATTGATTTTTAATAATTTAAAAAGGACTAAAGTTGCAATTTAGTATACCAGATTTTGTTCTGTAACATAAAGTAATAAATATAAAAATGTATGGTTTACATTGAAAAAACTAACCGTTCCGTGAAGAATTTAAAATGGCTTAATAAGTACATGTAACATTAAGTCTTTAAAATTGTGTATTGCAAAATATTATATCAAGAGTATCAAAAGTGAGCACATATTTTTCCTTTTTTTTCTTGGAGCTTCAGGAGCATTATCTGAACTGAGAAACCCACTTCTCAATTCAGCTCCAAGGCCACTGACAAAAGGATTGTGCAAATGAGCCTTTAAATCCCTAAATAGTGACTGCACAATGCACGAAAGAATGTAGCCTTGGACAAAGGGCAATATTCACAGTTTAGCTCAGGGTGATGGATATGAAACGACGCATGAACATGGGTTTGTTGTTGGTCCGAGCAGGCCGCAAACCCCTGCTGAGATCCCCAAAGACCAAGCTCTGTAATGCAAACAGCCTGGTCGAACCCGCAAACAATTAGAATATACTAACTGGCCATTATCTGAACTTCACCTTCCTCTCATGATTGATATGGGAAATTTATGCTACATAGTTTCTTACGGTGAAAAATACCATTTTTCTTTGTTTACAGCAGAAACAGTTATTCACTTCAGGGCAAATATTAAAAATGAGATCTTGGCAATTTAATGCTATTTTTATATCAATCAAAGGTTTCAATTCAGTCTGTTTTACATACATAAATGGTTTAATTTAAATCTAAAAGGGTGACACAATACCATTTAATGTTCTTATTTTCAGACAATTTAGCCTTATTTTATTAAAACTACTTCAGATAAAAATAGGGCTAAATAATGTATGCTCTTCTTTGCATACAGCTTGTGGTTGAAACAAATTGGTTAAGAAATAAAAATCCATTTAGTATGAGTGAAATGCATGGGGTATGGTAAAAGAAAGTTTTAGAGTAAGAAACAATTTCAAATATCAAAGAATGGTGCTAGGGACAGACATTTAAATTAATGTAACATACTGTAAATTATGCTCTGTATCAATGTATAAACAGCATTATACAGTATATTCTAAGCATTATGAATGCTGAAAAAGTTCAAATTGGGTTGAACTTTATTTCTTGTTACACAGTGAATAATCCTTTCTTTTATTCTAAATGATAATTCAGTAACGTCAAAATATGTAACACTTCAAAAGTTAGAATGAATTCTAACTGCATATAGGGATACCACCTGTAGTGGATTTTTAAAAGATGCCTTGAAAGTGTGAAAAAATCCAATACCCAGCAGGGGTGAACCAAGAGTATCATGTCTGTCTTACAGCTGTTTGGTGATGTCTCTACTGTAGGCTACAAGCATTCAACAGACATTCCTAATAGACTTTGAAGAACTGGTACCTTGAGGATCATGTAACTGAACACTGGGTGAAAAACATTGCAACACACCCTCTCATTAAATTCATTTCTGTGTTAAAGGAAAGCAATTAATCTCTGTTTGACTGCTTTACAAGTTTGTACCAAATGCAAGTTGAAAGACATTGAGTCAAGATTTATGATTGAAGATTTTACTGAGCATGAACAGAGATCAGGTGCTTACAATTAAATTCATACTTAACACTGTTTTTGTTTATGTGCAATGTGACTTTAAAACTTCAAAAGCAAGTAAGTGAACATGAAAAGTAGTTATACTGTATTTCTTTCTAAACAATAAAGACAAGTGTGACACATAGAAAAGTTATATTCTACTTACCTTATACAGAGAACTTTTCAAAACACCAAATATCCTATCTGGGGACCAAATAAGTATAGCAATTCATTTGTGATAAATATTCACCTTTCTGTAATTTAAGGAAAACAGGTAAACATGTTGCACATTTTCTTTATGCTTTACCTTTGAAGTTCTCCAAATGTCTCTCTATTTAAAGTTGGTATTATGAATTGTTAGGACCGGTCACATTCCTTTTCTATTGTTTCTGAGAAGGATGTATTACTGAGATTTGTAAGTCAATAAAAGTGGGGGTGATTTGGCAACTGCAAATGCTCAATCCAGGTAACATAAGAGTTTACACAACAGCTTACACAAAAACACTCAAAAGGACACACTGAAGGGTTGCAAAATCCAAAATACTTAAATATTTTATCATACGTAGTCAACTTAATGTCATATATACACTTAATTGTCACTGTTTTGCCTTTTGGTTCTGATTTTCTGCTGTGTTTGAAATACTGGTTTGGGGACCATTGGGGTACTGTAATAGACTCTAATAGATTTTATTTGTGAGAATTTCTAGTAACAGTAATAGCAGTTCCCCATTATGTTTTACCCAACAATTCATCTTGGAGACAATTTTTCCCTCCAATAATTCATCCCCTGGTAATCCAACACCAATTTAATGAATGGATATTTTGTAAGAATCACTAATTGAAATAGTTTAGATTTAATTTTAAGATAATTTAATGATTAATATGGAACCCTTGCTCTTATCAGTTTCAGAAAGCTAGCTTTCTAAAAGACACTATTTCTATCAGTTCTGCAGAAGTTATGAATTGAAAAAGAAGCTTAATGAATGTTGCTCTTCAGTTTTGTTTAGTAGGCTACAGTCACAGTTACATGTGATACTGCATAGGGATGTGTTTTGAGAGGCATGGGTTTGCCTGTGGTCTCATACAGTATGTGTTTTTCAAAGCCCCTCCTGTCTAAAATATGGCCACAGTGTAAGGCTGCATATTTTCTCTCTTACATCCAAGCTGGAAGAGGCATTTTTCTGTCACAGTGCAAGACTATTGAAATGATTATTTAATAAACTATTATTTCATTTTAAATTTTGTGTTTGAGGTGTGCCTGTTCTCAGGATCCCACCTAGAAGCTGTGCCCCTTTTGTGAACCACCCCATGTGGCATCTCACAGGTTAGTAATAAGCATTTAACATTTTGCTTTGTGAAATAACTTTAGCTGATGCAAGAACAACAAAGAAAGAATCAGACCTAGACTGCACCTAGACTGAAAACATCCCGACCACTGGTAATATACTGCACATTTTTTTTCTATTTGTACTGCATGACTTAACAAAGTTCCAAACACAGCTCATGGACCCAATGGAACCCATCCAGATCAGCCTTCCAACTCGCCATCAGTATTGGCTGTGTGCGATGGCTTTCTTCTATAGATTACTAACCAGTGACAATGCCAAAGGCAGGCAATAGGTGAAATGTGAAATTCTCCACAGAAGTTTGTTTCTTTTCCCTCCCATCTCTCCCTAACATTCTCCCCCTAAAAAGTGAGGTGTCAATGAGGTGTCAATGAAGCAAAACAGTTTGCAAACGTCCCTATCCTATAACAAATCATGCAAGAGTCTTTGAGCAATCTCCACTTGTTTTTCTCAAGTCCATCTCTGTCTCCCAGATCAGACAGATTCTGATGTCCCTACTGCAACTAACCTACTGCTGAGCAACATAAATTCAATAACAACAGTTTAGAAATTAAATTAATAGATAAACCTAGTCTGAATAGTCTGATCATTAGCCACACCTGTATTTGTAAGGAAATCACTTTCCTGTAGGTAAATCACTATAATACATGCTATTACAACACCATGCTATAAAAAGACTACTGCTTTCAAGTAACAACAAAATACAGGCAAAACACCAGTTACCAGAAATTCTTAATGCTTCACATTGAATATAGAATTAAATTGAATAGGTTGTTTGTTATTATGTTTTTGTGTATAATTTGTGTAAGGCTTATTTATGCTTTTTGTGTTTTGCCATTAAATTTGATGTTTTCAGCAAATCTAGTAGTTTGCTGTTTTGTTTCATAGTTAGTCATAATATCTTGTGTTTAAAAACTATGAGCTAGACACCATCAGGCCTGGGTAATTTATTTAAGTGCTCTTAGTCCCTGATACTGCTGATTAACTGAGATTACTCAGGATTGTCTGGGGTAATCTGGGACAATTTATTTGTGTCTTCCCTAAATATCTGTACAAAATCTTCTTAAAAGTACACTTGCCTTTTCTGTTTCTACATTTAATTTAATTGTTATCTCTTTGGCTTAGGTTTGTCAGTCTACTATTATTCTGAAAAATAAAACAACCAGGTGATCAGTTTTCATCTTTATAAAGAAATGAATCTTGAACTATTCTGTTTTGATGGCATAGTCCCAAGTCCTAAGTATGTTAAGTTATAAAACCCTGTAAAACCTATGCCAACTTGTAGTATCTACATACTGTGTAGTGATGCAGCAGTCAGACAACTGAAGAAAAAAAAAACATTTGCCATTTATGTTAAAAATATATTTAAATTATTATTTAACATAATATTTACCTTTGTGTGTTTTGGATATATATACTGTATATATATTAAATTCTTCAGTTCAACATAGTACTGTATGTGTTTTTGTTTTCTTTAAAAACCTATTATATTCTATATGCTATAATATAGAGTTAAAGTGTATTTGATCTGGTTTCTTTTTGGGGGACTGGTTAATATTTTTCTTTGAAATAGTTTTCTTCGGCCTAATACATTTTTTTTTAAAACTACATAATTACCATAGAAGCAATTATCAGTATCATTCACCAGGGGACTTGAGCATTTCTTAGAGAAACAGACATATATACAGTATATATATTTGATTTGGAATATATATTGATTGATAAGTATTCAAATAATGTATGATGTTTGAATAGGTTTAACTATTCATGTCAAAAGAGGATATGTCTTTGGAGTATATCTTTTTCAGTTTGTAATATGATTTTCATGGATTTGTCAGTAAGCAACAGTGACCTCTAAGGCAGCCTTCAATAGAAAGGTCTGGATCAACAGTAAAATATCCTCTAACAAGTTTTCCTTTAAAACCCAACTTTAATTTGAATATTTTTTCAAATTTTTCAAATCTTACACCTAAACAAAACAATTATTCATTCATCTTCAGTTTCTGGATTGCCTAATTAAAGAACATAATACAAAATAAATGACAAAAAGTCAGACATCACCTCTATTAGTAGAGTATGCTATTTCCAGATAGTATTTTGTTGATGATCTTTATAAGAATTTTTATAATTTGGTAAATAATTAATTCATTATTACTATCTAATTATTTAATTACTATATATAATTAATTATTACATTATTTGTTACGATCGCTAACCCCTCCTCTTAAGGGCGCTCCAGCCCTTCCTTGTTCTCTCCCATTGTCTGCACCTGTTCCCTATTCCCACTCCCCGTTAAAAGCCAGACGCGGACCTCACTCCTCGTTCCTCATTGATTTCCGCATCGTGAGAGCCCGGGGTCCTGCTGCGTCTGGCTCCGTTATGGTTTTAACTTTCTGTTCCTGATCCCTTGCCCCGCCGGTCCCGACCCGGCTCATGGTTTTAACCCCTGGATGGATCTCCTGGCTTTGGACTCTTCTCTCCTGTTTGGATTCCTCGTTTGGACTTTGGCTTTGTTTGTTCGCCTGGACTCACTTTCCAGTACACCAGCTCACATTGGACACGCCCCCCTGTATCCTAACCTTTTCCTGCATGACTTTCTCCCTCGTGTTTCTTCACTATTCTGGATCGCGTCGTCTGCATAGGGCCCAGAAGGAACTGCTAATTGACATTATTATAAGCTTGTAGTAATATAATAAGTTATAATGTTACAGGCAAGGGTATTGCCCATTATAAATAATAATAAAATGTTTTCTTCTCTTTTCAGCATGGAATAAACCTATTACATGCTGACACAGCTACACATCTGAACTAAGATTGATATTTTGTTTGTGGAACTTGTACTATTATTTGCAAGCCCACGTAAAATGTCTTTGAAATGTGTTTCAAATGCAGTCCAAAGCCTGTGTAAAGTGTTAAAATTTTAGAATAAGTAGTACAATAGTTGATGATTTTCAACTTTTTTTGACTCCATAGTCAATTTTCTACTGATTTTGGGGAAGTAAAACTGTAAAAGTAAAAATCTAGTAAGAGATAATATAAAGAAAAAAGAAAACTAATATGTTGCTTATCTTACCAATGTTTTGGTATTGTCATGGGATTTGAATAATAAAGGAGATGAGCATTTAAGTGCTAAGGCCTGTATCAGCAGTGTTTACATTTTTGAGAGGCATGACAACCTACCCTTGTAAAACAGCCATATAGAGAAAAAATCTTTTTTTTTCTGGAAATTTGATGATAAGTTAGTGTATCCTTCGTAAGTTTGAATTTTGACTATGCCATCCTCTACTTGAGACTGTGAGATGCAGTGGTCAGCCCATCCATGGTTTCTTTCTGCACAGCAGTGACCCCTGTAGCTTGTCTGGTTCCTTGTATGTTAACAGTAAGTATAGGTTGTCCAGATGTCTTCAGTGCTGCTACAACAGTTGAGAATGTGAGCTGAACCCATTCAGCTCTTGATTCAACAATTTAATGACTCATGATAATGAAACTTCTAAAAGTTATTGCTAATTGTGCAGATCAGCCAATTCTTAAGCTTTGTATCTGTCATACCATTTATATTTTATTTTCTAGGGAAAGCAAATGGCTTAATCTTTTTACAATCAAGTTTTCCTGAGAGATATTAAGCATTTGTAAAGTTGAAGCTTACCTTGGTCTGTTTTAAATTTGAGTTGTTTTCATTTCTTAAGCTAGAGTCAAGAATTCAGTTTAAATGCATCATTTACAGGAGTGACTAAAATGATCATTTTTAGGGGATATTTTATGATTTGCCATTAATTAATAATTTTATAAGCTCATCCTTGTGAACAATTTATTTGGGCAGCTTGATGGCATCTTAAAATGTAATACTAAACTGCAATTTAAATGGAAATGTCCAGGGTCCTACATGTCCTTACACTCATCAAATAACTCTTCTTCAATAATCCATGCACTGGTATATAAGGACTTTATATATTTATTCATATGGAAATTCTAAAGATATACAGTAGAAATGGGAATGTTTAGGAGCACTAGTAGACATACTGTATCTGATAGTCAAAGGCCACAAGGCCAGAGTTCTTTCAACCCTAGCTGTTAATTAAGTGATCTAATTGTTTTCTAACTTTCCTTCCAGGTTTGAAGGATATGGTATTTTAAGAACAACTACAACCCTTGGTGAAAACATGGTGCCCCCCCAAGACTAGGATTACCAGCCACTGTTTTAGACTCATAGAAACAGATAGTTATGAGATAATGCTCTTCCTTAATTTTTCTTAATTCTTAATTTAATATTCTTAATTAAATTCAGTAATGTTTTAGAATTGTTACAATTTCAGCCATATATGAAGAGAGCATTTCACAAATCCAAAAACACTAGATCTCACTGTTACAATCTTATCACGTACGCTAACAAAAAGGTTAACCCATCAAGTCAATGCCACACTCCTAGACAGTTACAGGACAAAAAGTTACAGCATTGCCTAAAGATTCCTTTAATTGAAGTCAAGGCAGCGAGGAAAGCAATAAATTAGTTCTGTTGCCTGTATTTTGATAAAACAGCAATTTCCTCAGCTGAATTGTGATGAAGTGGCACTATTGATATCGGCAACAAAACGCACCAAAAAAACATTCTGTTGCAGGTTGCGCTTTCAAGGGGGAGTGATCTATGTGGAGTACACATGAGTCCACAAAGCCTCTGAAAGGGCCACCATGGCAGCCAGCGAGGCGCTCGGACTTCAAGGAGCCTTCTTCAAAGCCTTCCAATGTATTTGAAAATACACGGCATTCAGGCTCAGCGGATTTCCCTTTTGTCTCCAGTCATCAGAAGCGAGTGACATCTTGAACGCCTCAAGAAGATTAAATAGCAAAGCTCAGTCGGAAGCTAAGAGAGAAAAAGGAAAGGGTCGGCCATTATGGAGCAGGTCCTTTCTTGTCAGTGAAAGAGCATTCAAGGAGGGCTATTGGGAGAAGAAGGCGTAGATAAAGCACACAATGATGGGGAGAAAGGGAGAACTCTGAGTGGAACCAGAGGGAGGAGGGCAGCACTGAATGGGGATTAGTGCAGCTTCATGGCAAGAAAAGGGGAATCTTAGTTGAGATGAAAATGAGGAATCACTACTCTGGTCATTCGGTTCACTAAGCAGTAACAAAGCATGATGGGAGGTACTTGACATAACACTCTTCCAGGCCATGTTTAGCCCCATTGCAGGGCAAGGAAAAACATATTTTAACTTATTAAACATTTAAGGGGAAGTAACCATGTGGATTGTTTTTAAGTAGTCTAAAGGAAACATAGAAGAAATCCACATCTACTGTAGTAATGTCTTCAAAACATAAATACTGCATACTGTAGACTACAAGAAGTGGTACTGTACCATTGTTAAGAATTTGTTATTAAAAGTTAGAAAAGGGAATTTATTAAGAAAAAATCTGAATAAGTTTCATAATTGATTTGCTGTTGCTTAGTGAAAAGTAAAAGAAAAGGTGTTGCTGAATGACACCTTGTGAAACCTTAGCTTTGTGATAAATTAAAATATTATGTACTGTATTCCCAAGATGAAACCTAGAAATTGTTCACACAGTAGTACTGCTTTTGCCTGGAAACAGAACACTCATTATGATATGCAATAAATGTTAAAATGTGAACTTAAACTTTACTCTTAAAGGTATTAAATAAACTCATTAACAGTATATTGAAATCCTGCATTTAAATATGTGATCCTCAAACGACTGTTTCCAAAATTTGCATTTGACATTTCAATGTTATGTCACAGGAGAAACATATTTGCTTTTCCTGAGCAAGAACACATCATGGCACATGACCTTGATGTTCAACAGCAGAGCATACAAAGTTTTATTTCAGTCCATCTATTTCTGTATAAAGACCAGTACTCCCTTGTTGCTTGCTTTATTTCTTTCTTTAATCTACACAGATGTGTGATTATATTGGTAACATTTATTTAATATCAAATAAATAGTGTTGTATCAAAGTTTTGACATACTTAAGTGTAATTAACAATTTGAAAATCCTGCAGAATGTCTGTGTTTACCAAATAACTTGTGATGAAATCCAATTGCAATATAGTGTGTACTTAATGAAAAGCCTATTGAGACAGAGTAAGACTGGACTTCCTTCCAAGAAAACCGTACATACTTTGATAACATAGTTGCTTTCCTCTGCTATTTTTCTCTTTTTCAGTGAGCCAAATATATTGTGAGTTACATACCCTTAATTGCTTATTATTGCACATATCTGTTGCCACTTAAGAGATACAAAATTATTTTGATTTATCCATAATTTACTGGTAGTCATAATAGTCATTTTTCAAACAGTTAGTAATAAATATACTGTAGATAAAAACAGAAGATTATAAACAAACAAATATCATTACAAATAGAGCCAGCTTTAAGTTCTTGTATTTTTATATCTAGTACTTGAGGGAACAGAACAACAAGGAAAACGAACCTGGGGTGTGATGAAGGAACATTTTTTAATCCAGGGTGGAGCCAGGAGAGGTTCAATCATTGGCTAAATGAGAGAGTCTCATATTGAATTACCTGGTTGGGAGATGTTTTCCAAAAATTTTAAATATTTGTCTGAAGAGCAATATGTTTATATGTCTTTCAGGAAGCTGGACATTTCCCTAAAACACCCCAAAAATTGAAGGCTTCTGTGGTTTCTTGTAAGAAGAGAAATGATGTACTCCTCAATTTGAGTGCTTTATGCATCATTCAGGATTCATGATCTTGGATCAAGCCTTATGTTGCACCATAAATATGGTTTGTTTCACAGAAAATAAATCTCAATCTTGATTTAAATACATCTAAAGAAATCAAAGTGTTCTCTATTGTGCTATATAATCAACATATTAATCACATGCATAGCTTTGTCTTTTCAGAAGAAAAATAATTTTAAAATGTTTACGTTTATTAAGATGGGACTACAAAGTTTATAATGAACGTTATATGAGGTTTTCAGAAGCTGATTTTTTTACCCCCATTTGGCGTAATGGCTTGTGAACTTAGGAATGGCATTATGGAAATGATCTTTCATTGTGCATTTGAATAGAACATCCCCCTTATTTATGCCCTGCTAACCTCCCATACAAAGCATAGTGGCTAGATTTATTATTCTTATACTACAAGCCGCTCATTAAACTACTGCATATATTAAACCAATAAAGCCAATTAAGTACAAACTATGAATGTGTTTATTTATTATTAGTCTCATTGACATTATGGAATTTGAGTGATCATGTCTTCTAAAAAATGCTTCAGATAAAGCTTGCACCTTAATCGGTCTCCTTCAAATGTAGTTTAAGCAGAAGTCTAAAGGAACTCTTCCCTATTCAAAATATAATTATCACTGAACACAGAAATTTAAACTGCACCAGACAAAACACATACTCGACAACCAATTTGAAGAAATACACAAAGGTAGGGATAAGGCTAGGTTTATTAATTGTTAAATTTGAATGGTCTCTGCTTCCACATCATTTAATGGCCACCCAAAGGTTTACCCAGCCTCCTTCAACCCCCCACCAACCTCCTTACACAGCACCCCACCAACATGAAACATAATTTGTCAAATTTCCATGTTGTCCCAGAATAACCACCTGGAGAATAATATGAAATGTCAACTGTTATATCAGTCTTCTGGCATGTGAAGCAGCAACTTGCTTGTCAAAGTGCAGTCAGCTGAAACAAAGTTAACATGATTGTCTCATTCATTAAGAATATGATAAACTATATGAAGTAAAGAATGAATATCTATCTAAATGATGATGTATGTATTTTTATCACAATTTAAAGGGCAAACTTTTAGCTATAGTGGATGGTTGTGATTGTTATTCTCTGGAAGAGAGAGAAAGTTACATGAATTCTTTTTTAGGGGTGGCATTGGGTGTGTGTAAAAATATTAATTTAAATAAAATTGGTTTCTTGGGTATGTATTATTACAGTTTTAAGACTAAATGTATCATAATCTGTAAATGTTTGTAAATAGATAGGTATTATTGATGCAACAGAGAAAATATTATTACTGTAAATGTGACTGTTTATTTTAAAAAGTCAGTATTTAAAAATATAGTATTTAAAGACAGTGAGAGATATGAAACTGTGAGCTGACAAAGAATATCTACCATATTTGATATTGATATTTTATTAGATAAAGTATTATTACACAACAAACTTTTTGGTTTTCATTAGAAAGAACTTATCTGTATCTTTACAGATGAAACATATTCTAATTTATTTTTTAGAAAACTCATAATACATAAAAATCTAACAAGGGAACAAAAATGTACATTGTAGACTAGGCTACCATATTTGTTTACCATTTTCCCATGTATGAGAAAATATGTGTAGGAATTTGTTAATAATGTCTTAGATCTAGTAGTTGTATTATATTTATTAACATTTCTTTAACTGACAATCTGTAAAACATAACATAAAGTTACAATACAAATTATATTGCACCATAACCTCTGCTAAAAACTTTAGAATGCAATTAGTTAAGACCTTACAGCTACGGTTAATGAAACTCTAGTTAGTGTCATTGAAAATCCTTTACATGCATTAGATAAGTTAAAGCGTTTTTATCCATCAGCAATAGATAAAATAGCTTTGGAATGCCTGAGAGTATAAAAAAAATAGGTTAGAGGGTTTGTTTCACAAGAATGCTAAGCTGTAGAAAAGCTGTAGGCTTTGTTTTGGAACTGTCATACTGAAGGAGGTGAGGATGGATTAAAATTGCACCATGGGCCCTAAACAGAGGACCCCTGTAGGTAGACCAAGCCTTTCAATCTTCTGATCAACGGACCTGAAACAAGAATGCAGGAGGCTTGCGTTCCCACGTTCTTTGACAGTTTCCTACTGCAGTTTGCCTCTGTTCAGTCTCTCCCTTACACAATTATGCTATTGGAATAATGACTTATTTGGCCTACTCGCATTGTTTGCATAGGCAGATTTTTAATTATAAATATGAAAAATAGTTTAAAAAATTGTTTTCAACCCATTAGGGTAGATAAAGCAATTCTGTAATTTTCTTTTATTTACACCAATCTTGTGTCTTAAAAAAAAGAATTAATTTCTCTTTTAGTATCAAATCACCAAACATATTCTAAAGACATTTAGATATATTTTGACTGTTATTGAGGTTTCAGTGTAATCCTTTTCCATTTATAGTTTTTTCTTCTTAAAAAGGATGTTGTAAAGGAGGAGACGGATATTACATTTGTGTGCAGTAACAGTAATATTCAAATTCACTAGTAATATTTAACTGATAGTTTATTGGGACTACTATACTTTTACTTTTTTTATTTAAATAGCTGACACAATTTATTTTAAAAGTGTAGTGAAAAGGTTTGCAATGGGGATCTTAAGTGAGATGAAGACATTGAAATCTTCATACAAGAATTTTGACACCTTTCGTTTTTGGTCTGTGTATAAATACATAATACATCAATTATTGGAATAAGATGATTTGCATAGTATAGGATCACCACAATGTCCCATCCAAAATTTAGTCCTGATATGAACAGGAGGTGAAGCCACTCTACTTGAAAACTTAATGGATTCTCTCTTAGGAAAATTAAGTTATTTAGTTTTTCAACATACCAATGTAACAGGGCAAAAGGTATTTCATGTTTTATTTTTTATGATGAGTCATGCATTTTAAAATTACTTCAGAACTTAGTTATTGAAATCCATTCAAGGCTGAAGACCTTTTCAAACAGACTTGCATGCTCATTTATACTTTTAAAATCTGTGTTTTATTTGTCACTTGATATTCATTCCATAGTTTCACCTTTTGGACAGGTCACAGTATGTAAAGGAAGCTTTTATGTAATGACTGTCAAAGGTTTGGCAATATGCATTCTCTGAAATTCTTGTGATTTTACACATTCTTTTCTGTAAAAAAGGTCAAATGTAACATCATGATCAGTACAAAGAAAGACTTCACAAAAGAGACAATAGCTATAGGAAATTTGCAAATGAATAATGTCAATAGTGCTTCTTAAACCACAAAAAGTAAACACTCTTAAATGTACTTTTAAAAATCCTATTATACTGCACAATAATGATGTCTCAAAGTCAGTGCATCTTCTTCAGCCCGCACTAACAACAGAAGACAAGTAAAAAGAATGGGCTGAAGATCTCCAGACTTTGCATTTTGTCAGGACTTGATCAGGAGTTATTGGTCATTTAAAGTAATGTGAATAATTCTTCATGTATGTTTTAACTACTGTAGACAAGTGGTGGTGAATTGTTTGTATATGTATTTTTGTATTGTGATATACTATTTAATGTTATTAAAATGACATATTTTACAAACAAAAGCATATTTAAAGATCTTCAGTCAAGTTATATACATGTAGTGTCTATATATAGCATCAATGCATGAGTTTGATTAGTCCGGAATGGAATTTAAACTGAGACACAACAGTGGAATCTTTCATAAAGGCAAACACTTCTTAAATTATTTGGTATCCAAACCAGAGAGCATCTATGAAGGAAGATACATGTTCCTATTAAGTCAAAAATATATAATGGCTTGAAGTGAAATAAAATAAAAAATACTACTGTTGTGGTATTTTTAAAGAGTTCATAAACAGAATGCTTTTACAGGTGGCATGCTTAAAATTTAAAAGAACTACAGAGCATGAAGACAACCACAAAGTTATCAAGACAGATTAAGTAAGACCACTTCACTAAAAAATTTAATAAATCCATTAAGAATTGTTCTATGTATAATAGCACCTAGACACTATCTAAATCAGCACACCCTTTCAAATTGAGTAGCCAGGCAAGCGGGAAACTGGTTAGGGATGTCTCTGTGAAGCAAACAGTAACTTTAAAGGATTTGCCATGTGCTATGTCTGAGATGAGAGCCACTGTTCAGACACTGATTTTCTGAGATCTATACTTTTATACAAATCTGACCTATATGTGGAAGTAGCAAGAAAGACTATTTTACAGAAAAAGACTAATCTCAAATGTTGTATCACACATCATGCAGGCATGTGAGACGCGGCAAAAATTGAACGTTTTGGCCTGAATGCAAACAAACTTTTGCAAACTCAGTATCACCTTATCTGCATCATCCCAGCTGGCTAGCATCTTCATTTTATGGAGTTACGACTCATCAGAACAGATTGTGAAGCTTGTCAGGGTGGAGGGAAAAAAAAGACGCTACAAGCTTATAGGCAAATCATACATGAAAACCTGATTGAGTCAGCCATGAATTTAAACATGAGCCAAAAATTCACATTTCAACAGGACAGTGACTTGCAACACAAGGCCAGGGCCTGAGCCAGAGGAGGTTTTTAAAGAAGAGAATAAAGCCTTGAGTGGCCTAGTCAACTCCAATCTTCAATCCAATGTAACATTTATGTTGAGATTTGATGACCAATACTCAACAAACTAGAATGATTTTGCATGGAACAGTAGACAAAACTATAATATTCCATGTACTGCCTATATATCGCTATTATTGAAAAAAATCTAAAGATCCCAACTTTTGTGAGAGCTATGGTACCATCACTTTGATGGCAAGCTGTATACTCAAATGCTACCTCATTAGTCCAGGCCCTGTTGACCAAATTAGCCACATATGGCTCAGGACATAAGAATAGGGTAAATAAATCCCCTGATAATTCTTATTGAATTATATCTGAGGTTTTATCCACATTGGAGTCCTATTCTGTGTGAAAAGATACAGTGCCCTGCAAAAATATTCACCAACTTTTCCACATCTTGTTGCTGCCTGGGCTTGCAGTCATGACAGTTGGAAGTAGAACTTTACGGTATATCCATCAACCCCTTATCTATTTAATTCAGTACAGAGTCATGGTGGAGCCAGGACTTATCCAGGGAGGAAGGCAGGATACACCCTGCATGGGATGCCAGTCCATCACAACCTACTGTACTCAAAACTAATAAAGCTACAACATGCTAATGCTATATAAATAAAAGATTTATTTATATTTAAATCTCAATCATTTTTTTAAATTGAAGATTCTACAATCTACAATTGTGCAATGTTAAGTACTGCATTCCGACAGCCTTTATTAAGAACATTTTGTCTCTGATAATGTTTATTGCATCATCCATATTATACATGTAACTACACAAACTGTTTCTTTTTGTGCCTTTCTTTTGTTAGATTCTGACTGGCTTCCATGGCATTATTTATGGTCAATTCAATCATATGTTTTTTGGATTAGGAGTCATGAATGCGGTAAAATATTTATGGGCCAACCTTTGGTTTTACAGGCAGCAAATGTTCTTCCCAGATCGCTATTTCTAGGGCCACTCATCAGGAATGCTTGCTTTCACCTCTGTTGTTTGCCTTGACTTTTCGAACCACTTCTCAAGATAATCATTAATGCACTGCTTCTCCACCCATTTCATTAACAATTCTCAACACTGCTTTTCACTCTATGCTGCTTTAACTGTGTTAATACAACACAATGTCTATCATAAAAAACTACATTACTGTCATTAAATGTTGTCGTTTCAAAACTCTATTGAGTTATGCCTTCATAATAAAGTTAAATGTACATCCTTATTCAAATTTCTTTTTATATCTCACCTATTTTCCCCTAGGGAACTGATTTAAATGGTATACTACTAAATTGTTAATTCAAATGAAAAAAGAAGTCACCATTTATTACATTTTCCATTCAGCAGCACCATCTGTGGGGATGCCTAATTCTGCCAAATTATACATTTTACTTCAACTTTCTTTTACCATTGTTTGTTTGGTTGAATCCTGACACTCCTGTATCTTTGTGATCACTTGAAGAATGTCTGGTGTAACAACACAAGAAAGGTTACAGATAAAACAAAGCCATTCAGCCCAAATGGTTCACTTGGGAGACTTCAGTATTTAGTTTATACTACCTAATTATACAATATGATTATGCACTTAAGTACAACTTGACATCTAATGGAAAAAAATCACAAAATTCCAGAGCACATGACCCACTCTTGTATCCCTTTCTCTTCTCCACTTCAGTGAACTAATGGCATTCACATTCTTTCAGATACATTTTTATAAAGATAGTCTTCACTTGTTCCCAGACTTGCAACTTAACAGGAGCAACCTATCTCTTTTTTTTTTACTTGCACCTATGTTGTGCAATCTGTGCCTATGGCGTC